TGTTACCCAGGCTGGAGTGCAATGGCGCGATCTCGGCTCACCGCAACTTCCGCCTCCTGGGTTCAGGCAATTCTCCTGCCTCAGCCTCCCGAGTAGCTGGGAATCCTCCATGCTTTTAGCATTCATTGATGTTTTCCACATGAATCGATCGCCTCTATGATGTTGCCAGATCCTGTTTCTTTATATCCCCTTTGCCTTCTGCATTTGTTAGTTGGCCTTCCACTGTAAGCAGGTCCTTTATTTTCTCAGTTGTTTAGTTATATTGGTATGGACTCATGGATTTCTGTTATTATTCAATGAGTTGTACTCCCTTACTTTTATTTTTTATTTTAAATGTCCCAGATTTTGTAAAGTTGTATCAAAATATCGCATGCAAGGCTGGGCGTGGTAGCTCAGGCCTGTAATCCCAGCATTTTGGGAGGCCGAGGGGGATGGATCACTTGAGGTCAGGAGTTCGAGACCAGCCTGGTCAACATGGTGAAATCTCATCTCTACTAAACATACAAAAATTAGCCGGGCATGGTGGCGCATGCCTGTAATCCCAGCTTCTCGGGAGGCTGAGGCACAAGAATTGCTTGAACTCGGGCGGCAGAGGTTGCAGCTGAGATTGCGCTGCTGTGTGTCCTGGGCAACAGAGCGAGACTGTGTCTCGAAACACACACACACACACACACACACAACCTTGTAAATACGTACAGCAATTATGTATCCATAAGAGTTAAAAAGAAAAATGTTGGCCAGGCATGGTGGCTCAAGCCTGTAATTCCAGCACTTTGGGAGGCTGAGGCGGGCGGATCATGAGGCCAGGAGTTCAAGACCAGCCTGGCCAACATAGTGAAACCCAGTCTTTACTAAAAAAAAATACAAAAATTAGCCAGGTGTAGTGGCAGGTGCCTGTAATCCCAGCTACTTGGGAGGCTGAGGCAGGAGAATCTCTTGAACCCAGGAGTCTGAGGTTGTAGTTTCAGTGAGCCAAGATCATGCCACTGCATTCCAGCCTGGGTGACACAGCGAGACTCTGTCTCAAAAGAAAAAAAACAGAAAAGAAAAATGTCCCAGAATTGGCTACTGGGTGCCTCATTAAGTTGGTTCCTGTGTTCCTTTGACATGTTTCCGTTTTTCATTGACATTTCTTTACTTTTTGACACAAAAAGGTGTGCCAGGTGCAAGTTTCCCTGTCCCAACCCTGGAATCAGCTGTTTCTCCAAAGAGCCTGATTCTTTTGAAGTGGAGGATGGTGCTGTATTTACAAACCAAGATCTGGGAGTTCAGTGTGTTAAGATTCTTGCTTGGGCACCATTGCTTCTAGGCCTTCTCAATAGACAGAGCTAGGAAATAATACATCTGTATATATGTACACAAATCTACACACACACATTTATGTACTATCTATAACTATTTCTCTATTTGTGTCTACACATGTATTATAAAACCATGACTTCATACTGATAAATGCCACTTCCAACCTAGCCCCTCACGTTTTTTTCTAATCTTACCCCATCCCTGTTTGTAAATATGTTATCCAGCATTGAGAAGTTTGGCTTCTGTTATTCTCAATATGTTTACTTATTTGCTCAATCAGTTTACTTGAGCTCATTGTAGCAATCTCCCAACCACTGGTTTTTTTATTTATTATATCATAGGTAATCAGTGCTTATTTTATATATATATATATATTTTTAGAATCATCACTGATTTGTGGTACAGGATGTAATCAGTGCTTATTTTCTCATGCAAAGATGTTCTAGGCTCATCTTGTATTTTTCCAGCTCCAGCTCTGGAACTTGCCTTTTCTGCAAAGACCTCTGGTTTCCTTTGATTTAAAATTATATTTAGAAACCAAAATCTGGTACTAGATATGGTCATTATTACTTTTTTTTTTTTTTTTTTTTTTTTTTTTAGTCTTGCTCTGTGGCCCAGGCCAGAGTACAATGGCATGATCTCAGCCCACTGCAACCTCTGCCTCCCGGGTTCAAGTGATTTTCCTGCCTCAGACTCCCGAGTCGCTGGGATTACAGGCACCTGCCACCACGCCTGACTAATTTTTATATTTTTAGTAGAGGCAGGATTTCCCCGTGTTGGCCAGTCTGGTCTCAAACTTCTGACCTCATGATCTACCCGCCTCAGCCTTCCAAAGTGCTGGGATTACAGGTGAGAGCCACCACACCTGGCCATCTATTTTTATTGTTTAAAAATTATTAGGCTGGGCATGATGACTCATGCCCGTAATCCCAACACTTTGGGAGGCTGAGGCAGGACGATTACTTGAGGCCAGTTCAAGACCAGCTAGGAGCCAGGCTTGGTGTCTCAACCTCCAATCCTAGCACTTTGGTAAGCCAAGATGGGCTGATCACTTGAGCCCAGAAGTTCAAGACCAGCCTGGGCAACATGGAGAAACTTGACCTCTCCAAAAAATACAAAAAATTAACCAGGTGTGGGCCGGGCCCAGTGGCTCACGCCTGTAATTGCAGCACTTTGGGAGGCTGAGGCAGCTGGATCACGAGGTCAACAGATCGAGACCATCCTGGCCAACATGGTGAAACCCCCCTCTATTAAAAATACAAAAATCAGCTGCAT